GTGGGGTGGTCTTTCCCTCCCCTGGGAAGGAGGGAAGCAGAAGACTGGGGATGGCTGGTTGCACCCAACCAACCAGCTGGGTCCTGCAGCTCTGCACCGTGGGGACAAAGCTGCTGGTCACCTCGTGAGCTTCAGCCAACACGTGGAACTACATTTAAATCAGGCACATGGACTCTCCATGGCCTCCCAAGAGATGGAGGCTCAGACAGTCTCTGTCCCAGAGCCCTGGCCTGGCCACCCTGCCCTCAGGTGGGGCTCCAACAGCACACCCCAGAGCTGGCCACATCCCTGGGGAATGGTTGGGATGCTCCCAGCCCGGGTCTGGATGGCAAACAATTGGCATCTTGTCTCCCTGCTGCAGATGTTGTGCAACAGCACTTGATCCCCATGGCTGGACCTCCTTCCTGAGGGAGAGGTGCCTCCAGAGGGCAGTTCCAAGCTCCATCTCCCTTCCACCAGCTCCAGAGCCTCCAGTGATGAGGATGCACTTAATGGGCACCAAGGATGCTACAATGCCTGAAAATCATTCCACGTGTCTTGTGGGCTTTGGCTGGAGGGCTGAGGGAAGGACAAACCCAACCAGGAGGGTAGGAGCACTGAAGAGTTGCCATGAACCTCCAACATATCTCACCTTGCTATCCCATGGGGAGAAAGAGCAGATCCAAGCCAGTAAAGACTCTAAGCAGGGACATGGATTGAATAAGCAGGGAAAGCCTGACCTCTGCTTTCCTGATCTTCCAGATCCCTGACAGAAATTCAGTTCTTTTGGTGCAGTTTTTAAAATCATAGAATCATAGAATTGGTTAGAGTTGGAAGGGACCTCAGAGATGAAAAATGCAACTTTGCAGCAGCTTTTCTGCCAAATAACTTTATGACTGTTGCAAAACTGCTTCAATTGCTGAAACAAAGTCAGCTGGAGGAGAAAATGAAACCCTTCTTGAGATGACAGCAGCAGTTAGGAAATGAAAATAATGGTTTCTTAGTACATTGATGTACTTGTTAGGCTACCAGATAATCCAGTTTTGGATACTCCAAGGAAAAACCCATCTGTTCCAGTTAGCACAGCAGTGGAAAACTCTGGATGGCCAGTAGCCACCAACAAGGACATGTGGAAATCAGGAAAACTGTGAAGTTTAGCTTAAATGGGTAAAAAATAAAGTCAGAGTAAGCACAGATGAGGAAGTGAACAGTGGCACCCTGCAAAAACATGGCAAAGGCTTGAGGGAACACATCACTGGCAGCAGAATTTCTGCTGTGCCTTCAGATCTGAGCTGGCAAGAAGTCAGCCTTCCTGCAAGCCAACAGTTCTCCCTGGGACAATGGCATGGTTCAGGAACTGTCACCTGGAAGCCAGCCCCTTACCTGCCTCCCCTCGGGCCCCCTAACTGAATCCTTCCCTCCGGTCTGGGCCATCCCAGCACAGGATCATACACAGGGAGTTGGGAATCCTGCTGCTGTCCCTCCCTGCTTTCCTCCCCAGCAGGGGTATCCAGCACTGCTGGGTCAACTCATCTCTCTCCCAGATCTGCTCTGCTACTAAAGCAGCTGCTCACCCAGCAGTAAAACAATTGCACATCATCCTGATGCTATGCAGGGTCTCTTATTTTCTGTGCTTTCCTGCTCCTTCAAGTAATTTCAAGTACTTTTCTGTGCTAACAAAACCTCACTTATCAAGTCACAAGGCAAGAAAGAAGATACTCCTATAATAAACAAGATTTTCATATAATAAATAAGATAGTCATATAATAAATATTCTTATAAGAAACAAGCTATTACTAAAATAAACAGGATATCAATGTAATAAATAATAGAACAATATAATAAACATTCCTATAATAAACAAAATATTCCTATAATAAATAAGATATTCCTATAATAAACATGATATTCCTATAATAAAGATATTCACATAATAAATAAAATATTCATATAAAAATATTGCTATAATAACAAGATATCACTAAATAAATAATACATAAATATAATAAATAATATATTAATATGATGAATAATCCTATAATAAACAAGATATTCACATAATAAATAAGATATTCCTATAATAAATAAGATATTCCTATAATAAATATTCCTAAAACAAAAAAGATATTCCTATAATAAACAATATATTCCTACAATAAATAAGATGCTGATATAATAAATAAGATATTAATAAAATAAATAAAATGTAAAGCTTTCCATTCATTTTCTAACAGGGGGGACCCCACCCTGAGCAGCTCCCTGGGGAGGGTCTCCAGCACCCAGGTGCCAAGGCTCTGTCTCTCCCACTTGCACTAGGAAGGCTCCAAAACTCAAAGCAGGCAGGACCAAGGAGTTTTCCCTGAATCATCAGTGGCCAAACAATGAGTTCTAACTCAAAAAAACCCACCTTAAATGTGACAAAACCATCAAATTAAACTTTGATACAGGACTACAGCTGTACACAGCACAGCTCCACCAGATCTTCCTGCTACTCCAGAATGACACCACAACCACCAGTTGTTATTAGTTGGGCTGATTTAACACGGGTTTGGGGTTTCCCAGTTTTTATGAGGACAAACTCCTCCAACATCCAATTTTATGCTGCTTTTGAGAGTAAATACCAAGCGAGGCTCTAACCGCGGCCTCTCGCAGCCGCTCAGCTGCAAATCCTGGGTTTGCAGTCAAGGATGAAGAGAGGTTTGATGCAGCACAGATATGCAAAGCTGCTGCAGGTCATGGTGGTGGGCTGGAGACCCTCTCAATGCCTTGATCTCCTGGGCTCTGGAGGCAGCAGGACCCTGAGCTGAGCACAGCTCCTGTGTGGTCACCCACAATCCGCCAGCGAGTGGTTGTCAAACAGGTGCAGAAGAGTTTGGATGGTCTACGAGGGACAACAATGGGTTTGGTTCCCCTGAAATCAGGGAGCTTGGAGACTTTGGCTCGCTCAAGGTCTTGGTAGCAAGTTGAAATGTCTGGCTATAAGCATTGCCCAGGATTCCCACACAGGCAGGGATGGCATCGGACACCCCGTGGGAGCACAGGGCTGCCTCACCCGACTCACAACTCATCCACACCCACTGCAGGCAGGTTGAGGGGCATCAGCAAGTCAGACAAAATGCCTGGGGGCTGAATGGACACATAGACCAGTGCTTCTGAGGTCAATGCACAACCAGGAGTGAGATGCAGAGCATATCTGCCTTGGCTTTGGTGGGTCTGAAGGAGAACCCAACCTGCAGCAAGATGCCCAGGGATGAAAGTGTCTCTGCAGAGACAGAGCAGCTCCCAGACTCAACTATTTAATGATAGCATCTTCAGAATTACTTCTGGACAACATAATTAACTTCCTTTAGCTTTCAAGGAAGGCTTTAATGAGCAGTGATGATCCACTGGTGCTGCTGGGTCCTGCCACCCTGCCCTGGCAACGTGGAAGCTGGAGAGCAGCCCGTGGTCTGTGTGGTGGGACCACCCTCCACATGAATCCCTGCCCTTCCCAAGGGGGAATCTCTTGTAGAATCACAGAATTCCAGCTTGGAAGGGATGTCAAGGATCATGTGGCCCAAACTTTCTAGGCAAAAGCATGATCTAGACAAGATGGCCCAGCACCCTGTCCAGTTGAGTCTTATAAGCGTCCAATGTTGAGGAATCCAACACTTCTCTGGGGAGATTATTCCCATGGCTGATTGGTCTCATTGAGAAAAAATTCCCTTTTGGGAATTTCCTCTGTCACTGGTTTATCATTCAAGTTGGCTAAAGAGAATTCATAGCCAGGTACCACAACACCCAGAAAGGAAAAGGAAATTAAAACTCAAACTTACCCTTTTTCTTGTTTTTAACTGAACTTGGACCTACAAAGAAAAAAAAGAGAAAACTTGTGAAATTCAATTTTTGCCTTAGAAACCCTCCCTGCCACCCACACCCACTGACCCTGAGGGTGCCTCTCCAGAGCTGGAACAAAATGGGCAACAAAACTGGTAAGACAAAGACATAGAACCTTTTGTTTGCTACAGACAACTGCTGTGAAGGTGTGACCACTTGACCAGGACCCACATCTGCTTTACTCTCTCTCCAACTAACAACCCGGGGTTGGTATAACCCAAGGGAGTGAGTTTTGGTGGCCAGCAAAGATGAGTGAAACCATCTGCTTGTGGCCAGTGGCAAAGCCCAGGTGACAGATGCTTTTCAGCCTTGAGCCAGAGCTTTACTCTTCGATACCAGCTCAGCTCCAGCTCTGCTGTTTTGCCACACGTATCCCCTGGAGCTGCTGATGGAAGAACAGCATCTCAGACCTCCAGAAATCCTGAGACCCAACACAAACCATTTAAGAACACGATCCCTCTGCAGCAGATCATTTTTCAAGTGGACAACCCAAACCCTTCTGAGCCAAGCTGCTTAAAAAATCATAACGAAACACTAAAAAAAGCCCAAAGCAAGGAATTATTATGAACTGGCTTGTTCAAACAATGGGAATACAAACTTCCCTAGCAAGGAAAAGTATTTATAGTGAAGCTGAGAAACTACATGACTTCTTTGAGCAGAAGCTGAAGTATGAAACGTGTTCCATGGCTTCCTCAAGAATTCATCAGGGATGGGAAAGAACTGCAACAATCCCCAAAACGGTCCCTCGTTGTTCATCAGTGAAACCCCTCCAAAATCTGGGCTTAAACACATATTGAAGGCTGAAATCACCTTGAACTGAGATATATTTATAATGAAGAGAAGGTCACAAGGTTGCTTTGAGTCCGCAGTGGTGGAGAAAGACAAATTAACCCTGGCACGTTAGAGGAAAGATGAGAGAAAAACCAGAGAAACACTCAGTGACCTCACTGGTGCCTTTTCAACAGGAATATTTATTTGCCTACATTATGCTGTTGGGTCGTGAGAAAATGATGGTATTACCTAATTTATTATTTCTGCTAATTTACTGGTTTTTCTACTAATCCATATATTCACAGTATTAAACCATGTAGACAGGACAAGACACCAGTTTCTAACACCAGTGCTGGTATCTCACTGGGGAGCAGCCCTGATGCCAACTAGCAGGCCCACCATGGCAGATCATAGAATGGTACAATCACAGACTGGTTTGGGTTGTAAGAGACCTTCAAGATCATCCAGTTCCAACCCCCCTGCATGGGCAGGGACACCTCCCACCAGCCCAGGCTGCTCCAAGCCCCATCCAACCTGCCCTTCAACACTGCCAGGGATGGGGCAGCCACAGCTTCCCTGGGCAACCTGGGCCAGGCTCTCACCACCCTCAGAGTGAAGAATTTCCTCCTCATGTCCCACCTCAACCTCCCTATTCCAGGTTTAATCCATCCCCCCTTGTCCTCTCGCTACAAACCCTTGTAAAATGTCCCTTTAAATATGCCTTACTTTAATTAAATATAGTTATAAGCAAGTTACAGTGATATAGCTTATATGGCAGTGAGGGGCAAGGAAGAGTCAGCAACACAAGCAATTAAAATACTGTTAATAAGGGAATTTTAATAAAAAATTTTACCTCTTCTGTTTGGCAAACCCTGGCAGGCTCCTCTTGTTGCATTTTCTGAGCTCCCACAATGCAGAATCACAGAATTATCAAATAATTTTGGTTTGAAAAGACCTTTAGGATCATCAAGTCCAACTGTTAACCCAGCCCTGCCAAGGCCACCACTAAACCATGTCCCTCAGCACCACATCTCCAGGACTTTGAAATCCCTCCAGGGATGGGGACTCAAATGAGCTGTGATCACCCACCAATTCTCACAGAATCACTGAATCATTAAGGTTGGAAGGGACCTTAAAGCTCATCAAGTTCCAACCCCCCCTGCCATGAGCAGGGAACCACTAGACCAGGTTGCACAAACCTGGCCTTAAAAACCTCCAGGGATGAGGCGTCAACAACCTCCCTGGGCAACCCATTCCAGCTCCTCACCACCCTGATAGTGAAGAATTTCTTCCTGATGTCCAACCTAAATCTCCCCTCTCTCAGTTTAAAACCATCACCCCTTGTCCTAGCGCGACCTTCTTCGACAGCACCAGCTGATTGCCCTGATCTTGGGCACCAGCTAAAACCATTTTCAGCCAAGTGGGAAAAAAAAACCAACAACAACAAACCATACAAAGAAAACACTGTCTGGGGGATGCCATTTAAAAAAAAAAAAAAAAAAAGAGAAAACCCAAAACAAACAAGAAGAAAAACCCAAACAAAACCCGAAGCGCGAGCGCTGCGTCCGCGTCTCCGCGCAGACCTCGGGAGTCACGAGAGTTTATTTCATGTTATATATATCACACCCATTAGTGCCAGAACCAGAGTGAAAGTACAAATAGCTGCGGCCAGCCAAAACACATTTGAAATGGCTGGAACCAATTAGCTTCAAAGATGAATGGGAGGAATGAGAACCACATGGGATGTCAATGTTCACAGTCTATATTACAACAGGCGCATCTGTTCCAGGCACGGCAGAGAGAGATGTTAAAGGCTGTGCAAGTGAATCTTTCGACAAACACAAAATACTTCTGACATGAAAAAAAAAAAGAAAGCCAGTCTTATTAAGCCCTGGGAGCTTCTGAGTCTCTGGGGTTTTGCATCTGCTCGTCTCCCAACAGGAGGGGGTGGATGGTTTAATTGGAGCAGGGAGCCATAAGGTTCATCTGATCCGCCAGAAGATGGAATTTTCACCCCCCCCTTTTTTTTTCTTTTCTGTGCAAACTGGTAAAATAATGGGCTCCTTCCCAGTTCAGTCTGAAGTGGTAACAAAGCCTCTCACTGAGTTTGAGAAGCTGAGTGCCACTGGAATCTCAGATCTACGTTCCCTTCAGTGCCAAAGGAGCTGAGGCCCAGGGCTTGAACACTTGATTTACATTGTCCCAACCCTCATGTGAGGAGGAGGACAAAAATATAAAGCCTTTTTGGCAGGATCTTCTGAGGCCACACCCCAACATTTAAGCAACAGAGCTCGTTAAATGTTGTAGTGGCTGAACACATATGACCCCCCTGGTCACTTTTTAATTGATGGAGCAAGTTAAATACCTACAAGTCAGGCAGGTGTAAGTCTTTCCTAGAGTCTTCACCTACCCCATCAGTCCCACCTCCCAACCCACCCCTGGTCTCCAAGCCTTTCCCACTGCCCACCTTTATTTAATGCAGTGTCATGGAGGCCATTAGATGACTTGATTCCAAGGAAAGTCTATGAGAAGACACTTCCTTTTTGACCCCAGGGTGCACATTACAGGCACACACACTGGGTTCCTCTACAGTATCAAAATCCAAGTCAGAGGTACCTGCTGCTGCTCCAGAGTCTGCAAGCCCACCTTCTTCTAGAAGGCAACTGGTTTGCCTTGAAGACTTTTCCCTTGATCCACGTTGCCTGCTGCAGCTCTCACTTCTGCATCCTGGGGCTTCACCACAGCACGTGGGAGGATTCATCCCAGTCTGGTGGGGTCTGAGAGCAACCTGGCTGCTCTGCTGCTCCCCAGCACCTCTTTTCCCTTCTTTATAAAAATACCCTCCAGCTTGCTTCTTTGCACTGTTCTGGAATCACCTTTGCTTCTCAGAAAGTCCTTTAAGTGTCTGTTATGAACTAGAGATCAAGCCCATGGCCTTGATGGCTGGTGCTAACCATGACAGCCACCCAAGCTTTGCTATGCTTCTCCATGTCTGCTTGCACTCGACTTCTGTCCTTCTTCCCACCAACTCCACCTATCTCCCACCTCCTCTGACATGCTACATCCTTGTGTTTGAGGTCCCGAGACCAAGGGAAGCCCATCCCCCTTGACATTTCCTGCCTTTCAACTGAAATTAAATGTATGGTTATGTTCTAACCCCTCCTTGCAGGAGCTGCCACCTCTAGTCAACCCCTCATGTGAGCTTTGCTTTGCAGAGGAACAAAGTTGACAAGAGCTGAAGAAGACCCAAGATACCAGAGAGGAGAGGCTGGAAGGCTTTGAAGGATAGCAAGCATGGAATGAGATCCAGTCATGCAAAATGCATAATCCTATACATTCTATATACATGGGAAAAGATCAGCTTTTCTGCTGGATGGTGGAGCTTTTCAGATGGATCTGCAGAGAAGAACATCTGCACGTGCTTCACTGCTGTCACCCAGCTAGGGAAGGCAGGAGTGCAACCCTAACAAATGGAAATAGCTCCAGCAGATGTTGGGCAATACTGATGCCACTCATTAGGGTGGGGTGAAAACCCTGGGAGCAGTGTGGTCAGACCTGCTTCTGACATTTACAGCCTCTTCCACTGGATTTCCTGCAGGAACTCAGGCCACCTCCATCATCTGCCAGCTGAGTTCTCCATCACTGGGCAGGATTTCCCCAGCAAAGGTGCTCGAGTAGCAACACTGCACACTGGGCTTGGGGTGACCCTGGCTTTGAAGAGCACTCTGAAGACCTCAACTCATAATAAGAAATAAAAGCTTATTTGATACATCTGTTGGTAGAAGAAAAGGGAGTAACAGAAAAGGAGGGAATATCACACCAGCAAGAGTGGTGAGCTTTGATTGGAAGGTACAAGTGGGACAACAGCTCTATATGGTAACACACCAGCCACCCAGCTGGGTACCTGCAAGGAGAAGGCTCCAAGCAACACCAAGTCACTTCTTGATGAGGAGCAATGGACTCAAACTGGAGCCCAGGAAGTTCCACCTCAACATGAGGAAGAACTTTGAGGGTGGCAGAGCCCTGGGACAGGCTGCCCAGAGAGGCTGTGGAGGCTCCTTCTCTGGAGACTTTCCAGCCCTGTCTGGATGTGCTTCTGAGTGACCTGCCCTGGTTTTGGTCCTGCTCTGGCAGGGGGGTTGGACTCCATCATCTTCAGAAGTCCCTTCCCACCCCTAATCTTCTGTGATTGTGCAGA